TTACTTTCGAGTCACAGAGGGACAGCGTGTGTGGTCGCGGAGATGTCGCGCAGCCTGTTGACTAGTGCCTGCGTTGATGTTGGTGTTTGCGTTATATTTACGTGAGTTACAGGTAATTTTCGGTTAATTCACTATTGCCGGAATACTGATACGTTACTCAATTTTAAGTCGTGCTCAAATATCGTGTCATCTCTGTCATTTCACAAAGAATTTGTATAGATAGAACTATACTTAAGCACGACTTAAAATTTGAGTAGCGATGGTTATTGTAAAAAGATGTTTAATTATTTTGTGATACAGAATAAAAAAAACACTAATTTGCTGAATGCTCAATAAGTTAAGAGAAAAGAAAAGAACAGAAAAGCGGAATAAAAATAACAAAAAATATCCTAACCTTGGTAAGCCGCCAGGTATACCCAGACCAGGATTCTCAAGGTCTCGGCGAGGCTCAAAAGGGTTGAACAACATGCCGCCACCGCCAGGCGCAAACGGATCCAGGTCAGAACTGCCGATGTTTGACAGGCGGGGTGGTGGCATTCCCCTGGAAACATACATAATCAATTAGGTAAGTTTCACGATTCAATAATCCAGATAAGAGCTACAATTTAAAGATCTAACTTTCCAAACTTTAAAATTGTCGAATACATGAAAATAGATAAATTCACTTAAACCATACAGAATCAATTAACTCGTCGAGTACCGTCATTATAGACACAATTATAGAACAATAGGTTGCGGTCACCGGTGACCGCTTGGTATTTGACAGTTTAAATTGCACTATCTATTCATCCAGACTAGACCTAAAAACTGAATAAAAGACCTCCTTTGGAACAATTTAAAAGTAAAATAAAAAAAGTAAACAGCCAAGGGCTTTACTTAAAGATACCATAGGTCTGGGGTGTCGGGGTTCACACCAGGCATAGGCCGGGGTGGAACCCTTAGTGGATCTTCTGGTGGCCTCCTTGTAGTTGATTCACCTGAAACAATTCAAAATAGCTATTAAAACCAAAACAAGTTTCGAAAACGTATTGAAATTAGAGAGTAACAGGTTATTTTCTATAGATATTGCATGTAACAGAATCTATTTCAAAGTAGAAACAAGTAATATTTAAGATAAACAGTTACTTTTTCTCCAAGGTGATTTAGAATAATATGTCTTATGATAATTATGCCTTACCTCCTTTTACACTTAAGGTAAACAATACCCCAAGTGTAACTAACACTAACACATCACTTAAAGACAAGATCATATTGAATGTAAAATCGCTATTCAGTAATATTTAACTAGAATCTTGACAGACTGCAATGCCATATTATTTACGATCCAATCCAATAACCTGTTTTCCTTAGTTGACTCATTAAACTTGAATAACAAATGAAGAGCCTGATACCGTTGTGTGTTTCAATGACAGATAATATCATTCGGTTATTTTCCATCGAGAGACTGACCTCCAGATGCAATTAATTAGGAAAGGTGAAAGTTATCAAAACATTTATGTTATATGCAAACTTGTTATTAATTTGTACACTGTATTATGTACATAATAATATGTGTGCATAGAATGTATAAGTATATATATGTATAGAGTAATATGCTAAATATATTAGAAGAACATTCAATAACCTTGTACTTTAGTTCTTTGCTTTACATTAAAAGTTTGAGCATCAGATAGTACTATGTTTTTAACAGCAGAAAATGTGTTATTATTTAAATAGATCAATCTCTAAGTGGTCATTGGTGACCGCTCTCCACTAACTCCGTTATAGACCTAATTTCCGATGTTTAGAGACTACTTTTGTATGAATAATTTATAGGAATTTTGGGTACGATATGTCAAGTGATTAAAGAACATTCCTGCAGTAATAACAGTTGTGATGTTATATTATTAATTATCACTACATTTCGTAACAAGTCTAAGTTGTCAACAAAAGTATTAACACCTAGGTGTAAATATACTTCACTTAAATAAATAATCACATATTATGTATATTCATGAATAAATGGAAAATGGTTAATAGACATATGACTTGGACAATAATTTATTAATAAAGACATAAAAATATGTAAAACCTAATAAAACCAGAATTAGATATTCTACTTGTTAAATTATTTCTTGAACAAAAAAGAATTTGTTAAATTGTGGCATTATTCTCGAGATATACATATCATTATAACATCACACCTTTTATCCCCGAAGGGTTGTGAACAAAAGGTTGCAGTTTAATTGGCAACATTTTTAACCATCCAAGAACGATAGTGGAGTCTGTCCAAAAAAATTTACGTGGCGTCACAGGTAATCGTAAACTAGCAACTACTTTTTCATAAATTCTAACCCCAACTAGAGCACCACAAAGCTCAAGTTTAGGAATAGTAGTTGGTTTCAAGGGGGCAACACGACTTTTAGCTATTAATAAACATATCAAAACCTAATTTTCATGGTTGATACTACGTACATATAAACATGCTCCATATGCTTGTTCAGAAGCATCAGTAAATATGTAGGCAGTGGTGCACATTACTCAATGCCACTGTACAATGTAACACCCACTATTCACTATTTATGTTATGGGTCCCATGTAATAGGGGGTGAGCCTATTGCCATATACCAGGCACATTTCCAGATTTAGTGCTACTACTGAGATTTTGAAAAAACTCAGTAATACTTTGCCCGACTCGGGAATCGAACCCGAGACCCGCTGCCCGGCAGCCGCACTTGCGACCACTCGGCCAATGAGGCAGTTCTCGAAATATCTACTTAAATATACATTTAAGCAATTAGTTTTATTTCATAACTATATCTTTGTTTATAAAAAACAATGTGTTAGAAAAATGTCTAAGTATTGTGTTGCTTACTTACTCCTTGAAGTTTGAGTTTCAGTATTAGAAGTTGATCTTTCCGTGACTATGTCGATTAAATCCCGCTTCACATTGTATATTAACTCCTTATGATTGGGCATAATCTTATCAATAGGACCACATAAATCCTTCACAGTCTCTTCTATCTTTATAGCTATATTGGACACCGCCAAATCTTCTGATCTCTGTAATGACATGATAATCTTCAGATATTTCTATTTAATGTATTACAATGTTAGATTAACCTATGGTTTGCCAGAATGCGGATCGATGTGAGACACAATGTTTTTTATATTGTGTCTCATAAAAAGGCAGTCAAGTGGCTAACCCATGGTCTGTGTGATAAAAAATATCCATGTTTGTAAATATGGGTCTGTTATGACCAGATACGACATTTCAAAAAAGTCAAATCAACAGACATTTAAAATAGTTCACAGATATTTTACAACATATAGTAAGGAGGTTGAATATCTAAACAAAAATAGTTTTATTGTACATGGATAATGTAAAATTCAATTAGAAAAAAACAAGGGCCCAGTGGAGTTTAGAGTACACTGAAAAAAATAACTTTTTTTTAATGATAATTACCATGAGATTGATGATGAGATTGCCATCAGTACTCAATCCATGCAGAATAAATAGTTTGTTATTGAGAACATATCGCAGGGCATAATTTTCCTTATCATTCCAGCCAGTTGGTAACAGTTCACTTTTTTCTTCATCTCCAGATAATGTCCTCTGAAAGAAAAATATAGTTTTATTGTTCTTAGTGAGTAGGTAGTTAATAAATAAAATTTCGATAGAAATGATAACAATCACTCATTCTTCACAGATCAGATAGGCAATAGGTATTGTGTTATGTGCGCATATTATAAATCCAACACTATTTCCCTTAACCCTTAACAAAATATCTGGCTATAGTCTATAAGTGTATTAGAATCTTTTTTCTTATAAGGCATTTTGATCACTAAAACATGCCTAAATAATCTAGTATGGTTATCCAATCATTGGAATTGTCAGATGTTGCTGGGGTGTGACGAAACTAAGCGAAACTCAATCACATAGGTGAGACAGAAGGTACACCTACTTTCATATTTAATTTTAGTCTTACTAAATATGCGTAGTTCAATATACGTGACCTATATGACTGACCGACTCATTTTTTAGAATGCGTAACTATCTTACCTCATCTCCAATTCCAATACTCTTGAATCCCTTCTTCGTTAGGTTCCAATGAACAAATGCAATGATAACATCAGATTTGCGTTTTATGTCTTTCTCCACGGTCTTAAAAGTTAAATCCCAACCAAATAATGCGTCTGCCATTGGTAAGAATTTGCTAAGTTATATTGTAAGAAAAAAATCTAGCGTACTTCTAAGTAATCTTTATTTTCAGTGTCTTATTTGTGAGATTTCTTGTTTTTTACTCCTGAGAAATTGAAACTGACTGGTCATGTTTTGCTGCGGTTGTCGAATTGACATTTCGATTGAGCCGGTGTTATGTCATAACATGTGGCGTTTCTTTACACTGCTAATCTTTTGTATGTGTTTTGATTAAAAATATTTGAGATTTCGTATTGAATAGAAGTTACAATTACCTAAAAAGCCAGAATACGGTTTAAAACTTTGAATACTCATAAAATTCCGATAATCGTAGGATTTTAATTACTCAAAATATTTTTCAATGGTAACATTACCAAATAGTGATGTACCAGATATTTTGGATTCGATTTAAATTACAATCGATTAACCATTATGAAAACTATAAACTTAGTACTTCTAAAGAAATACCTATAAATACATGCGAAAATAAAACTAGCGATTGCTTAAAAAATCCGGAACAACATATTTAAAACTTATAAATAGGTTTTATATCTTCTTAAAATGATTTTTGCAAGCAGGACTGCAAAACTACATTACAAAACAATAGAAATTTTGATGTTTTCCACTGTTGAAGGCCAAAGTATAATTATTGCTTATGCAAAAAATGTATGTATATTTCGATAACAACAACGTGCACTAAAATATCCTTTTCATAATATAAAAATGGATGATACTAGCTCGAACAAACTGTTTACGAATCGATTGAATTTTTTAATTGTCCAAGACAGACAGAAGATACGTCAAGCACTACGGAACGTTGTAAAAACAACATGGCGGACAGTGTCAATCCGGGAACGTCGTGATCGTAACGTGAAATAATGAATTTTGTTGTTTTAGAATATGGGTGAATATGTGCAATAATTTACTTAACAATTGTGTGCTAAGTGTTGTGTTTTAATTGTATTTGTGTTATCTGAGTGTCAAAATGGCCACGGATAAGATTAAAGTAGCCGTTCGGGTTCGTCCTTTTAACAGGCGAGGTAAGCTGGTTTCATTTTGCTATTAAATAAAGAAATCGCTATCACTCAGGTGACTACGTTGTTTCAGTTTATCTGTGTACTTTGTGCATAAAATATACAAGATAAAATAAGCATTATTTGTACGAATGTTCTACATGATAGACTGAAAATAATTGATTACTTCTCTTGGAATTGTAATCTAAATTCTTAACATAATATTTGTTAAGTATTGCTTTTTATTGTAAATGGTAGTTAAGTACGATATTTATTAATTTATTGTAAAGTTAATTCTATGCAAATAATACTAGATATCTCATATTGAGCCCAAGTTATTGTTTATTTACAAATGCATAAAAGAAACCTTTGTTCTTTTATTATTTAAATTTATGAATGTTTTTAATTTGTTTTATTAATATATTATCAATTTTAATATTCTTTAAATCTGTATCTTTTGTGTGTTAAATGTTGTAAAAATATTTATTATACTTGCTTGCCCGCTTGGGATTTTGCAAAGGAATGTTATAATATTGTATGGATTAGTTGAAAAGCAATTTCCTATTTGTAGTCATATAATTTTTATCTTTTGTTATTTCGTTATAAAAAGTATAGAATAGAACAAAATAATGGACAACTATATTAAATTGTATTACCTATTTGGTAGGCAATTATTTTTAATGAAATAAAGCCATAAATAGCAATTCTCTTATCTATATTTTATTACAAATCTAGATCATTCTTTAGATATAATTCTTAGTAAATATTACATAATTTGAACTATCTTGTTATTTTTAACCCAATTGCCTAGTCACATTCTTTCAAATATTTACTTTGATATAATATATTTTATCATCAACTTAGTCATATTTCAAAATAATTATAGCCTTGCTAATGTTGTAATGAATCACTCTCGCATTTCTGTTGTTGCCTCATTTTGGTATGAGGATGTTAATTAAAAAAATAATTCTTTGTTAGGGGCAACTGGCAATGTGTAATATTCTTAAAAAAAGTATTAATTTTCCGTAGAGTAATTACAATTAAAAAGTTATCATACAAATGACTCATGTGACTATTTGAAGGAAAGAATCTTACTTACTAATTTTTATTTGACTCCTCGGTTTCCTGAGTCTGTTTCTCATTTAGTAACATTTAAGCAGTTGCCATCTCAGTTCTTTACGTCCATTATAATACCAAAGCCTACAAGACGCCCACTGCTGAACATAGGTCTCCCCTAATGATCTCCAAATTCACTGATTAGAAGCTCTATTTATTTATGCTGAAATGAAATGGATTACATTGATAATTCCTGGATTACTACAAAATTTGTTTGATATGTAAAAAAATCTTTGAAAAAGTACATACATAGTTAAATTGAATAATTTTAAATAAGAATAGAGAGCTATTTTAGCATACCTGAAAACATACTTGTATTAAAAGTACCTTACATGATGTGATTATGTGTTTATTATCATTATTGGGAATTACCTAAAAATACACGGCTGTATATTATCAACTTTGCAATTATGTAGATAAGTGTGATCTGTAAATATTATGTCGTTTTCTGTTACAGAGTGAATCCCACTTATATCCATGATACATAACTATTACTTGAGCAATGTACGACATAAGCTGATTAAGGACCTACATAATAACTATTTAAATGTGTGTGTCCTATGCAGTGGTTTTATCAGCAATGTCGAAATTAGAAATAAATAAATAAAAAAAAAACTTTTTGCAATAAATACTCATTTGAATTCTATGATACGAATTACTTACGAAACGCACCCGATCTTTGGCAATTTATTTACTAGCAAGCTTGTTCAATGCTTATGTATTTAAAACCCACCCTAATAGATAAATGCTACAAAATATATTTTGTCGCGTAGTCCGATATCGAAAAACGAATTCGTAAGTCTGAAAGAAAATATATTCGACATCGTACACCTGTTTCGGCTCTACAATGAAAATGTATGGATTGGATCAGCATAACGACACTGGAAACAACAGCTGGATGACCTACATATTATTTTATCTATCATTCATTAGCTCTATTGTGGAATCGTGTTTATAATATTCATTCTCGCCAGCCGTACTATACACGAAGAAAATCATCAATTTTATACTGGCTATTGTTACTAGTTATCTACCTATTTTTATATTATAAATGGACGGTTTTGAAACAGCTTATCGTTATAGGATTATTATAACAAGTTTATGAATATTATCGCGGCTGCCTTTAGGGCTTCTTTGTCCATTGACTTTCTGATTCCAGTGCTCATCTACGTAGGTACCTACGCTGATATTGAATGACGTGACATTATCGATAACAAGCAGATGTTTTTATCAATTCTGGTTACCTAATTACCTATCACCACTATAAAATACTGAGATCATCAAAGAATATACATTAAATCGTATAACCTTGACAAAGACGTTTGAATGACTTTGTTTGTAAATAGTTGAGTAAGTCTCGAGATCACTTTAAAACAAGAATGCACGCTCACTTGCATTCGTCATGGTAAATAAACTCGTGGAAATCCGCGGTGTGATTGCTGCTGCTCTACTTTCAGCGAACCGTCTTTTACGTAATTTGTCAAATCGATTCTAGACTGGACTCCACGTCCAAGTTGCGACACGCATCGCTCCGGTGAACACCATTTCTTTTTTTACCACAGGAATTCGGCATCTTTTAGTGCTTTGGACATTTATCGTACAACACGCAATGAAATATCACTTAATCGAGTCGGCATTGCTTACCCGAAACTGCAAACTAGCCAGCAGAAATGAAATAATTGAATAAATTCATACCCACTAAGTGTAATCAAGACAAGATACAGTTTGCACGTGCGTGATCTCATGATTGAGTGTTTTAGAAATTGCCTACCTGATTTTATTAGGTTTCTGAAGGCCAAAAGTTTTGAAGATGCTACTAGGTTACAATTTACAAATACCTAGGTAATTCCTTGTATATGCCATTTATTCACATCTGTCTGTCTTGTCGTCTGGGCGAGTTTAATACCGTTTACTTTACATAAGCCTAGGCGTACATAAAATGGTCTAGTAAAACCGGATTTGAAAGAGCATCGCCACGGACATACGGTCCGACCTCGGCTTGACTCACTGCTCGTACATACATACATATAATATTACATACATACCTCCCTACTTACTATTTAAATTACTAATGCATATTTATTTTAATTTTATTGAAGGTTTTCTCGACACGTAAGCTTGTAAGTTGTAACCTAATTACTGAAAGTGCTCTACTCTAGTTAACTCGTCGAGTACCGGTTTTGTAGACACAATTATAGAACAATAGGTTGCGGTCACCGGTGACCGCTTGGTGTTTGACAGTTTAACTCGTCGAGTACCGGTTTTGCAGACACAATTATAGAACAATAGGTTGCGGTCACCGGTGACCGCTTGGTGTTTGACAGTTTAATAGAAACATTATTGTCCTTACTACCTACATCGTCCTACCTTTGTCTCAAAACCGGTCGTAGGTTTTCTGAAAGAGGAGTGTCGTGATTCCTTTTAAGGAAATGGTATCTCTACCGTCCACCTCGATGGAACAGGAGAAAAATAACTGAATTATTAAGTAACTAACTATGTAGGATCCATAAAATTTGATTCTTATCTGAGCAGGCCAGGTAAAGCTAAATAATTGTGAATTATGTCCATGTGAATCTAAGTAAGTTGTAAATGGACACCTAAGCATTAGTACAACCAATAGCACGGTTTGCTTTAGACAAAAGGCACATGACAAAATAGTGTAACCTAAGGTTATTTTTCTGTTTCTAATATTCTCAAAAACAGTCAGATAGTTTTTAGTTACTTAACTAACTACTTAAAATTCTCATGTCGATACATAGTTAAATATCGTAGAAGTATTAATGATGTTACTGTCAGTGTGAAGGACATTTAATGACATTATTCAACGGAGACATAAAAACCCTAACTTTACCAACACAGGTACAACAATAATCGGTGACAAAATATTGTAATTTCTGAGAAAATGATGTTTTACGTAAACATGTAACTCAGTAGGTACGCGATTTACAAACAACAATAAGTGTTAAGTCTAGCAGTAATAATATCTTGTTTTCCTGTTACTTTATTTATAAATGTACGAGTTCTATACAATATATGAATGTAATACACTCTTATCTAAAGCACTTAAAATAACTGTATCATTAATCCGACACATGCACAAGTGACCGCAGACCATCGTATGACCTGAATCCTAATTACCTGCCCAGTTTATTATTGGTCTCTCGCAATTTACCAGTACCTTTACCCGAAATAAGGTGATTCCGAATTCTGGTCGCTAAGGTGTTCTCATTCTGTATTGGCATTAAATTCACTGGTACAATTACACACCGTTCTTTTCGTAAATTGGTGTGTAAGGTATGTCGCTGATGAAGAGAATGAAATGTACATTGGAATGTTAGATGTAACTTGTTTGTTGGTTTTCGTAATAAAAAACCATAACAATTATAGGAAATTCTATCTAACAATTGCAAGGTCTAATTCCTCAAAGCTATTACTGTAAGAATTTTGAGGATTTCCTCATTTCTAAATACTGCTTAATACAAGTGTTTGTTTAGATGCCCCTTTCTAGGGAATATCTAAAAAAAGTCGCCTTGGAAAATCCCAACCACATGTTCCGCGTCACCACACCACGGTGTTTGGTTCCTTACAACCAAAAAGGTTCTTATTTTTAACCTTACAATGAGTCACAGATGTGTGTTGGGAGGGTTGCGTGCACGAACTTTAAAACATTCAGCACGAAAAATCAATTAGGTCCCTACGTAGGTTTGGGCCAATTAGGTCAAAAGGTTACAGGACTAACGTAAGTCGTGTTTCACGTCATAGCAGTACCGTCATTTCTCAACCTTTGCCATCAATTCTTAAATTGTCCTTTTTGTTTTCAGAACTCGAACTGGGTACACAATGCGTGGTGGAAATGGAGAGTCAGCAGACGATTCTGCAGATTCCACAGTCGGCGCACGAGAAAGAAAGGTACGGTTTGCAAGTTATTGTTTAATGTAATTATATTCTAACCATTATCATAGCGGATGTAATTTGCATAAGAAAAACATGATTTATTCCTTTTCATTGTAACAAGGTAGTTTTGGTATTGTAGCTTAAATTCGCCCTTATAATAAAGGAAAGTATGTTGTAATAGTTATTATTCCTTAACCTCGGAAGGGCGTTATATAGGTACTTAAATATAAAAGGAAGGTAAATTAGTTGATGGTGACGAAACGACCTTGATCTGAAGTCTAACAATCGATTCAGGGGCTAGATTTAATTTCTTTGTTAGTCTGAGTTAAACTACATTTAATAGTATTATTAATAGTATATTGAATTAATAACAACATGTTACTAGCTTTGTTATGTTGTAAAATACATTTCCGTATCGACCTTACAAATCATCCTTGCCCTACATGGAAGGCGAACAGTATCTTAGCGGTTAGCGGATAGGAAGACTGAAATAAGGTCGAACACGCTCTTCAATCAACATTGTGCAACAAATTCTTTTTGTTATCAATGTCATCTCTTTTTATATTCACTTAAAATGAAGAGATCTTTTTTTATTATATACCGACGTTTCTTAATCGGTGCAGGTTTGTAAACTCAATACCAAAATATTATCTTTAGTATGGTATTTGTTTAAAAATGCGGTGTAATCGTACAGAATTGTATTGCCAAATTCGTGGTAGCAAAGTAGGCACATACCTAACGTCGGAGATGCTCTGATTGGCGCGTTACTGCCGCAGGTTGCGTTACGCAAGTGGCGCTTGCGCATAAACAAAAATGTGAACATTAATGGAAATGGCAACAAGATAGAAACATACGACATTTTTGTTTCAAAAGAAGGTTAAAATTCAATTGAAGAAATAAAACTTGGTGTGCTGTATATTTTTCTAACAGTAATAAAATCTAATTGTAACGCCGACGTGCGACATTTTCAAAAAAAGACTACGAAATTAATGTGAAGCAAAAAATAAAATTACTTGCTGAAACGGCCTTAGGGTTGTCCAGTTTAGCAGTGTAATTAATTACGAAAAACGTTTGAGGCGAAAATAAAATTTGAAGTAAACAAAAGCGGTTGCTCCTGAAGCTTATCATGTTTTGTTGCTTCACTGTTAATTACTAGCGCCTGTCTAACCTTGGGCTTTCTAGATATTAATTTGAATTATGTCGGAACTTGTAATTTAAGTTCATGTTTATATTTTCCCTTTGCATAATGCTCTTACCTCGATGATTGGTCACGACTTCTGCCAATTATTTTGCTTTTCAAAAGTCGGTATTGTCTTATGCTAGCTCAAAAGAAATAATAGATATAGTAAAAAATTGAGTACCTACATGTTAACGTTTCCCATGAAGACAGAGACGATATAGATATGTTACAGTTAAATTTTGGGGGTCACATAGTACCGATGTTTTAATTAGGTGGTTTTTGGGCCCATTCGGTAAATAATGCACTAAAGACAATTTGTGAATTGCTATTGCAATGAGACATTATTATAGCTAGCTTATTACTTATACTCAGTTGGTGTTGGATTTTGGGTGCAGTTTATATACTTAATAAAGTACTGAAAAATTAAAATATAATAAAGTATAAAGAATAAAGACAGTATTATTCACCGCTGAAAGCGTAAAGATTTTATCAAACCTGATGTTGGGCGAAGGAAATTGAGTAATCTAATTAGGTACAATAATTTATGATTCAAGGCGATGATATGTTAAATAACAATACAATAAGCATATCAGACTGCTCATATCCGGAAAGCGGAAATTAGCATTGGTTTTGAAAAAGCAATGTATGATTCATGAATTTTAATTGTTTATGAATAAATAACTGGCATCTGTAAAATCATTGATACAGAGTTTCAAAAGCCGGTGAACGAAAACATTGTTTCCTGAACAAAAATAAATATTGCATTCACAATCATACGTTTCATTTGAAACATGGAACTTTTAATGGACACGGAATAAAATGAAATTATATTTTTCTTTTTAAGCCATTTTTGGTTTAGACCTAAACAAAACGTTTACTGCTTTAGAAAAATACCTGGTTACACATAAATCAATGTGGGTTTTTGAAATTTAAATTTTCACTAACGCCATGTTTAAAATTCGTTCACGGTTCGGGAGCGGTGCCGAAAGGTCAGATTTGCATTTCATTTCACACGTTTGTTGTATAAAAATCTTTTACATATTGAAAATAGTTTCCATTTTATTATTTAACCAAGTGAAAGGGTTGCGAGGGTTGGATGTGGAAAAAAAAGTAAAGTATCAACTAAGTTCGCTGAATATTCTACAAAATTTGAATTTTTATGTGCAAAATAAAAAGTATTTCTATATATATCTAATTTAAAATTTGATTTTACTTAAAGTCTCGTTTAAGGCTTAACTTAACTTTTTCTTTTGTTTAGCAGTAATACAATACCGTATCGACAAACGTGACAAAGATATAATCTTTGGAGTGAGATCATAAAAATGTTTAAAACGTTTTGAAGCACAAAATGAATGTAAGAACGTTACTATATTTGAAGTACACTGCGTTTGAAATTTTCAGAAGCAATGTCCGTGTGACGAGTGCCACCCATTTACCAGATGGTGCTCGGTGCCATAATAGTTGGGCGTTAGTCCGGAAAACGGAGATCCCTTGCGAGTTCCCACAATACAACGTGTCCCATTTGAAACTCCGCAAGTCTGTGCTATGTAGTTTTGTACTGAATTCTTTTCCAAGCCGTTTTCTTCTCTCTCGTATATTTTGCACGACTATTTTTGGCCCCGCGCTTTCAATTTCATTCTACATTCGCTGCGAGACCTGTTTTACATGACATTAGAATTTAAATTATATTGTTTTTATTTACATGATCTACGTTACTTTTGCTACGACGTAAATTGAGATGTTTTAAAATCATTATCTTGGTAAAACAGGCGTTTACAATTTTATGGTTCTTGTCTATCGTACACGTCTAATAAATAGCATTACATCCATAAATATTTTAAGTATACAATTCAATAATTCTGTATTTTTCCTGTAGCTTCATTTTGAAGCGCACAAAATTACAGGAATGTCTTTATGTTATAGTCTAAAGTCTAAACCTCGTCACTGCAAAGGCACAGGTGTTGCTCACGGCTACTTTAGAAACTTTTCCACACACATTTTAGCTCATGAATTATATTGTCCATGCATTTTATCCTCTAAATAAAACATGGAATGGGACCTATAAAACGCAGTCCACCTGCATTATGCAAATTGTTGGCGAGTTTGCGGCAAAATTAGTTTCTTACGTCATTTACTTTTAAAATACTGTGTTTTTGCGGTTTAGTGACGTAAAGATTCGTGGTTGTTATATAAAATGAATAATGAATCTAATTTTATGTTGTAACTGGGTCTCGGTCTTCTCTATCCATCGTTGAGTTGTGAATGTTGTGATCGATTAAAATCTAAGCTTCAGTACCGTTATTCAGGTATACCAAATCTTAGTGCTTGTTTGCGAACATGTTTCTGAGGTTCGTGACCGCGGCTTTTTTGTCTGCCTGATAATTCAGAAATGAATTGTCTGCATTTATCTCATTCACAACACAGATTACTTATCTGTTCGTATTTATAAAGTACAACAACGTCGTGCGAGTCGAGAAGCGTCAGGTCATTGATCTATTTGCGGAGTTAACATTTTTTTATGAAGTGTACACCTCAGATGTGTTACTGAATAAAATTTTTATTAGCCACTAATCGTTTCTGTTGCGAAAATATGTATTTGTAATTTTTTGCAAATGTTCTTTTGAGATGTAAACAGTAGGCTAGGCAGTCATGGTCGTGAGAGCGATGTCCTCGAAACACTAGACTGCAGTAGTTACCAACTTTAACGTTTTCATGATCACGAAACCAAACGAGTTAAGTTTACACTTTTAATCTGGCTTGACCTTCTTATTTTTGATAATTAATCGTGGCCTTGGCTCATGCAAATATGAATTGTGTTGTAGTAAAACTAGATGCTATATTGCGGCAATATTGGCCGGTAGTTTCTTCCTTCCGAAGTCTCGCAGCCTTGTATAATATACAGTCATCGATTCAATAAATGAATAGTTAAAGCGGAGGTGCGTGTCGTACGATCAGACACGCGACTTGTCGTTTGTTGTATCGATTGACCCAAATGTATTTATTGTCGTACCTTAGCCTGTTCTTATGGGAGAGCAGCCAGCCTCTAATATAATACGATACTAAGCCTCTTTAGCGGCAAATTCGAAGAGTCCACTGGCAATCAATTCTGATTATGAATATTGACATTACCAGGCCTTAAACGCTTTTGTCGTTTACCCTATTAAGATTAAGTAACCGTTAGGTAGGTATAGAATTATTGGGAGCTTCAATGATTTGGTACTCGCACAAATTAAGACCAATAATTATAGTCTCAACTTACAGCGGCATTTAGAGATCTCTCTTCGAAATTGATAATAACGCATGTATCTGTGTGTGATCCGCGATCACCAACTGTGAAAAATCCTTTATAAACTAATATTCTCTAATCTTCTTACTGTAGCTGGATATGAACCTCCTGTTTGTGGTTTTAACTTAAAAGAGATAAAATCAAAGGGAAACAATGACCTATTACCTAATGCATTGCTTTCATCTGCTTTAGTTACTTAAATAAAACATGTTTGCCATGTTGTCAGGCGAACATTTATAATGAAATTCGTTATTTCTGAATTGAACTGAACTTACCAAGTTAGAAATATTATTTAACTAATCATTTTTATATACAGCTAAAAATATATAAGTAACAAACTGTAAAAAGGGTTCAAAAAGAAAAACCCTTGCGGAAATTTATTTAAAACTTAAAAAGAAAACTGGGCACGACATTGGTAGAAATGAACTCGGTTTCCATTTATGTTGTTACAATTATATTTTTACGACTGGCTCGTTTGTTCAACTTATTTTGTTATTCATAAACCAGATAAAATAACAAAGCATAGTGTACTTTGCGCATCCCTTATCT